CTCTCTCTGAACAGAAGGCCACATTGGCATTGCCACAAAAGAAAAACAAAATTAGGCCCATTCACGGATGTCATGTGCCCATTTGTGCACCATATCCGCATTGAAAGAATCAGTTCTGGACTAGGCATTCTCTGCCAAGTAAATCACATGGGTCAGTGGCCTAATGGCGTTCAGAAGCTTATCCTGCGCTCCTTTAAACCCCAATTAACGTGTGTCCCTGCCATCTCTGGCATAAACGATAACAGAGTTGGTCAAGCTCTGGTGTATAAGCCACCTTGTCTAGTAGTAAAGAGCATGGACACTCAGCTTTCATTCTCTTGTGGACCTCCTTGTCCAGAGACTTCCGTATCCAGAAGTGCATAAACTTCATCAAATGGTCAGATGGCGACCAATCTCCAGAACGCACGTGGCATATATTGCGAGGGTCAAACATGCCTTGACCTGTAATATCGAGGAAGACCTCGTTCTCCGGATGGACAGAAGTCTTCGCATTGTCCATTCTGTCAGTCCATTGTCTGGGGCTCACCCAGAAAAGTCTCCTTAACACAAGAAGTGGATTTCCACGCCCTGTCCTCCAGATCGAAGGCATCTGCTTGTCATTTGTCTGGAATGGAGAGTGAAGGTGGTAGATCCTGTACCTCGTCAGAGAAAACCGCTGGTGCAGGCTGTGGCACTGAGCACTGAAAGGTTTCCTTTATGAGGGGAGCTTTTCCCTTGCTAGACTCCACCTTGGACCATTTGCCCTTCCAGTGGTGCTTTACTGGGCGTGGTCCATCCTTAGAGGAAGAATCGGACTCGTCCGAATCATCCTTGTACAGGGGGAGCCTAGCTGTCGACTTGGCAAGCTCCACATGGCTCCATAGTGGCACAGGCTTTGAGACAGACCATTCGAAAGTCTGGAGAGGTAAGGCGACAGGGAGGAGGGGGACTGAAACAGGCTTTACATAGCTACCAATTAGGAAGGAAAAATGCTGACCTCTGGGGCTCACCCAAGAAAAAAAAAAAAAAAAGTAGACTGCGAGCACAGGCTCCGTTCGGCAGCACAAAAATGGGGGCTCACCCCTGGCCGGAATACTAGGTACAACCTAACCAGCCACCCCATACACTGAAGGTTTTCCACCAACCTGCACCCAGTCCCTTGCTGATGAGGTAAACAGTTGAATGAGTTCAAGGCAGACACTCCAAGGTCATATACTAGGCAGCAGAGAACTGTAACTCTGTCTATTGTAGCTAGTTTCAGAGAAACCGCTGGCAGCAAAAAACCTGCAAAAAAAAATTTGCATCCACAAATAACAAATGAGGAAAAGGCATAATAACCTTTGCGACAAATCTGGCCACAAATTAACAAGTTCGGGTGCGTGGATGGCTGTTCGCGACCAAATGGGCACAACCCAGTGGGCAATAGGAGCACCGAACACTAGTATGGAAAGCATTCTGTGTGCGAATGCAAAGTGGTCGCTGGCGCTATGCGTAAAGGCCAGCTGATGCGACGGTGCCACAAGCGGAGGGCGTTCTGTGCTGTGAATGAGCACACAGGAGTGGCAAGCGTAGCCACTCAGAGAAACAGGGGGGAACAGCGGCCGACACCGCCCAGGAAATCCAGCCACGGGAGGGTAAGTGAAACTGAGGAACAAAGGGTGAGAGAAATAGAAAAGGACTGGGCACCCTAGGTTTCACGACCAGGAAAGGACTCTTAAGGCCAAATACAGGGGTAATTCCGAAACTACAACCCCCAGGATCCCAAATCGGGCAGTGTCCCTGAAATACAAGAGAAACAGCCCCACAATAGAGTGACAAATGTACGAATGAACAAAATATAATATAAAGCCATAGTAGTGTAATAAAAGCAATACTCTGATCTGACTTATGATGGAGCATCAAAGAAAGCGTTAGCGCCTTACTTATAGGTGCCTTTTAAACCTTGTACTTGTTTCTGACTGATTATTTGTTTCACTTTGTTTTTTTGTTGCTATGGAGTAAGTGAAGAAGGATTATTCAAAATATGAAGCCTCCTGTCATGTGATGAAATTACATTCAACATATCTGTAAAAACGTTAATGGATACATTATTCTACAGAAACATATTATGTCTATATAATTAGTGCAATTACTGGACCCTCCTTTGGAGAGAACGGTGGATCTAGAGTTATTTTGCTAATTTGGGCTCTCATAAATGGTTTCCGGTTGACAGTCATATCTTTCAAATTTCACTAATATTTTAAGATGGACTGAATTAGAAAATTATAGCTAGGGTTGCCAGATCACAGCTTGGCACACTAATAAAAAAAGTATATACTCAGGGGAAAACAGTCACTTTTCTGTAATTTACACCATTGAGAACATTATATAAAACAATTAAAAAGAAGGAGATTTCTACATTTAAATTACTTTTTTTACACCTCACAGATAATAGTAAAAACTAGAAAAGCTACAATTTCTGGGGAAATTGTGTGAAGTGTTCTTGCCTCCACCAGTAGTCTACAACTGGAGTGGGCGGAGTAACTATTATTTATTTATATAGCACATTTAATTGCAACGTTGATGCCCAAAGTGCTTCACAGTTACATTAAAACATGCATTTATAAAAACATTAGCAGGTGTACAAAAGGCCCTGTCTATGACATCACTTGCTGCTCCAGCCTGGCACAGGTCAGAGTATTTTGGCGGTTGCCATTTTCAAATGGTCGTATTTTAAAAACTATAATTCCTACATCGAAGAGCTTTATATTGTGAGAATCACAAGACCCAGACCTACATTGTGATTCATAGTATGTCTCTGAAATATTAAAAATGAAGGCACAGTCGCAGTTTAGAAATTGCCCTTCAAATTTTAGCTGGCTAGAGTGGAGTTTTAATGAATGTCAATGGAGAGCGTGAGTTGCAAACAAATTGTCATATTGTGAAAATGATCATGACTATGGCTTAGCCGTGGGATAGCCGAACGTTTTGATATAAGATTTGTGTAGGTGGGCTTGAAAATGAGGGAGTGGTGGCAGTTTAGAAATCATGTCCTAATTTTTCAGCTTTTGCCAGCTCCCACTCTAGCTTTGCCATTCATTCCTATGGGACAAATTTCGCCACAAGAACGACGATATTCCGTGAACCATTCGGTGAAACGTTCCACAAAGTAATAGCACAACAATCGGGAACAATCCGCACATTTCGGTATATTACGGTCTATGTAGTGTAAAACCTGTGGGAGGAGTTAGGGTGGTAAATTTGGCTATAATAAGAATAACTAGAAAAGCTACAATTTCTGGTGAAATTGTGTGAAGTGTTCTTGCCTCCACCAGTAGTCTACAACTGGAGTGGGCGGAGTAACTGTTATACTTTATTTAGCACATTTAATTGCAACATTGTTGCACAGTTACATTAAACCATACATTTATAAAAACATTAGCAGGTGTTCAAAAGGCCCTGTCTATGACACATCACTTGCTGCTGCAGCTTGACACAGGTCAGAGTATTTTGGCGGTTGCCATCTTCAAACGGTCGTATCTTAAAAACTATAACTCCTACAGTGAAGAGCTTTATATTGTGAGAATCACAGGACCCAGACCTACATTTTGATGCATAGTATGTCTCTGAAGTATTAAAATTGAAGGCACAGTCGCAGTTTAGAAATTGCACTTCAAATTTGAGCTTTGCAGAGTGAAGTTTCAATGAAATTCAATGGACGGCGTTAGTTGCAAACAAATGATTATATTGTGAAAACTATCAGGACTATGGCTAAGCCGTTGACATGTTTAGTGGCAGGAGGGATAGCTGAACGTTTTGATATAAGATTTGTGTAGGTGGGCTTGGAAATGAGGGAGTGGTGGCAGTTTAGAAATCATGTCCTGATTTTTCAGCTTTTGCAAGCTCCCACTCTAGCTTTGCCATTCATTCCTATGGGACAAATTTCGCCACAAGAACGACGATATTCCGTGAACCATTCGGCGAAACGTTCCACAAAGTAATAACAATCCGATCGGGAACAATCTGCACGTTTTGGTAAATTTTTGTCTATGTAGTGTAAAAACTGTGGGAGGAGTTAGGGTGGCAAATTTTGCTATAATAATAAGAATAATAATAACTAGAAAAGCTACAATTTCTGGGGAAATTGTGTGAAGTGTTCTTGCCTCCACCTGTAGTCTACACCTGGATTGGGCAGAGTAACTGTTATCATTTATAGAGCACATTTAATTGCAACGTTGTTGCCCAGTTACATTAAACCATACATTTATAAAAACATTAGCAGGTGTTCAAAAGGCCCTGTCTATGACATCA